AATCATCTGAAGAGGTACAAAATTGAGTACAACATATTATTCATCAAGCTTGGCAACTTGCATATCCTTCCTCTGAGTTGGAAACTCTATCACTATCATGTCACATACATAAATCAAAATTATCATAAGAATTCAACTATCTCTCACAATGACATTCTCTAGCAGCTCAACAAACTCTTCAAATGTCAAAGCTTCCTTTGACAACTTATTTTTAAGAGTTATCCTCTTGCTATGCACATCCTTCCACTTCAACACACTTTTCTCATAATGGAAGGACACATTCTTAAGGGGGTAATAATAACATCTGTGGGAATCTCTTTGCCACCAACTATTTTCTTGTTTTTCTTAAGTGCAAGTACCACAATGTTATGCATAATGTCATCCACATCATCTTCCACTTTAATTTGAAAATCATTAACACAGACTTTTATGAATCCCATCGTAAACTTTGTGTTTGTTAAATATTGTATACATACTGCTATTAGTGGAACACCCCATAATTATGCTTTTATCGTTACTTACCACGTCTTCACATAATGTCTCAACATCTTTCTCCACATCATCTACTGCTTGATTCTTTCCTTTTATGCATGTTTTCTTTTCTCATTATTGTTATTGATAACACCAACACGAACTATAATAATATCAAACTCAACATCTTCATGGACATGTCCGTCATCACTCACAAAATTATTCTCATGGGTCACATCATCATTCTCCTTATGAATTTGAGACTCTGTCTCCCATATATTAGAAAATATGTCTCACACATCTTTATTAACATCTTGATTTTCATAGGTCTTATTAGCAATGATATTTTGAATGAAAGAATGGTTTCTTATAGACTCAAACATGAGTGGGACATCAAGAACATTTTTTACCAACATCCAAATCAGACTCGTCAAAATATGGAATATTATGGGGAACAATGTCTGAGACATGTTTCTTGGCATATATTTATAACTGAAATTTAACACACTCAGAGGATGAACACCAATTTCAGCTTCACCAAACATAATATCTTGATTTTGAAGGGTGAAAATTCCAGAATTATGAGAAGAAACCCCAATAGGAAGAATTATGCCATAATCACTAATCTTTTTTAACTTCTTCTGAACCACTGTTGGTTGTTCAATGTTGGGAGGACCTTTGGGCTGACCATCAACCTTTCCTAAAATGACAATTCCTTGCACGAGTCTCATAAAGTCCATAAGTGGTAATTGAGAAACATGAGTAAAACGTTGAAGCATCTTATATGACACCTTAGTTTGCTTCCCAACTTGACACACGTCATAAATTTTAACTTCTTCAATTTTTAGATCAGACATATAAAAGAAGTTATTTATACTTCTATGCTTTTTGTGCCATAACTTAGTTTTTGTATCTAAAATGGCATTCATGATGTCAGGAACATGTTCTTCAACATTCTTGTGGGAGGTACGAGCAATATGAATAAGAATATTAGGCTTGTCACACCAAAATTATCGATGATTTCTAAGACTTCTCATTCCACTAGGGATGCATATGTTGGTGATGTAGTTGTCTACCATACAATTGACCAAAGTACAATGTAATGGAGGAGACAAACTTAATGCATTGGTAATCATACATGATAGAATGTTGAGACATGTTACCTGACATTGTGCATTTTTTCTTTCTAAATACGAGTAACACACATATTCTTTGAATTTAATGATTTACTAGTATGTATAACATCTTTCATGTCTTTGAAGATCACACCATTGTTTACTTAATCATATCCACCTTTTTCATCTATATTACGGTAGATTTTTCTTTGTTTCCTTAGAGAACTTGAGCATTTAACTTGAATATGCCATAATCTTTGCATTTAAAACATTGGATCCAATTGAAATTTTTACCACCTATTCCTTTATGCTGAAGGTTACACCTCTTGAAATATTGTTGTTGATTATCTTGAACATTTGGAGAGACATTATTCCCATATATCATATCTAGTTTTCTCATGGCTTTACTAAAGATCTTAGGAAGCCAAAGATTTTCTTTGATATCATAATCTATTTGGTATTCACAATCTTCATAATTGTTCTAAACTATTATCTTTGGAGGATTTTTAATGTCATAAAAATCTTTGGTTGATAAACCACTCCTCATTTGAAACTATCCATCTTGAACATAATAAGAACCCTGGAACACACTCAAATATAACATAGCGTCTGCTCTGATACTAATTGAAATCACGTTTTCAAAAGGACATATGTTGGACCAGATGCCTAAGCAAACATGTTCAACATCTTAGACTAGAATTTATAGATAATAGAAAACAAAATGATAAATCATAAAGCAAATAAAGAACACAAGAGAATTGATAACCTAATTCGGTGCAACGTCACCTACGTCTGGGGGGCTTCTAACCCAAGAAAGGAAATATACTTTCAATAGAATTAGTACAAAGTGTCTTAGATGAAAAACCCTTGTTCAATGCCATCTTCTTATCTCTACCTGTGTATTTCTATTTAGTACCCCCCTAAATATGAAACCCCTTTCACTTTCTCTTAACCACTAACCCCAGTGATCAAATAATAAATAAAATATTGATTGTTAAATTACAACTTAACTAACAAAGCAAACTATATGTCTTTGGATATGAATGCATGTGCTTGAGAGGTGCACAAACAATAACACAAACAAATGATTCAAAATAGAAACCATAACACAAAGATCTTTAATACTTACACACACTTCAAATGTTAGGTTTGAGTCTCCTTAAATATCAATGCAACTTTTGGGCTTTTCTTCCATGGGCATAAGATTTGATCACATTCAGGTTTGTAGAGGATTTTGTTTTGATTTATTTTTCAAAAAAATCCAACAAAAAGATTTGATTTGTTTTGATTCAAATTTAAATATCCAAATAATTAAATTTTATCTTACTCAATCGTCAAACAAGTCTAATTACACACTGCTAAAAGATAACAATAAATATGGTTAAAACACAACTAAAGTTTTTGCTCAGAACAACATCAACCATAACCCGCTGACAAAGGTCAAATGTTGTCCACATGCTAGAACATTTGGCCTAACATCTGTTCATGTAACATAATTATGAATCTTGAATAAATCAATTAAAATCTCTATTTGCTATAAATCATACTTCCAACTTCTTAAGTAAAACCTTTGCCAAAACTGAATCACACTTTAAATATTTATAAAAGAGATTGAAGATTTTCTCATTAAATTTAAATCCATACCTTGTAAATAAGACAAACTCAATTAAACATCTTCTTGGAAATTTGTTTAATTAAAACTTCAACCAATATCTTTATAGATTCGTTTCAGCAAATATTGGATTGAATAAAAGTGAATAAAATCTTCCTTCAAAGCATATCCAATTAAATATCTTCTCCAATGTAAATCAAATCAAATCAAATAAAATCCCCTTATTTAAACCAAAATTCAAATCTTTTTCTAAACTAATTTCGATTAACAAACTTCTTCCAAAAGTAACTTTTTTATCATACCAAAATCAATGCAGAATCATGTGATACAGTCTGTCCAGAACGCGTGCTCCAATGTCACACAACACGTTCAAGACGTCTTGCTTAACAACTTCTCTAAAGTAGCTATTTATAATAACCTTTGGAATCAAACATAAATAATGTTCAAATTTGCTCACGAAACCTGACTTATAGATTGAGGCCAGATGCAACACACATGCTAGAACATCTTGTCCCACATGCTGCATCTTCACCAAAATACATCTTGCACTACCCATGTTGTTTTACCAAATTCATCCAATCAAAAGGAACAGCAACAAGATTTTCTCCATTCAGGCTGTCTATGGACGACCCCCTCCCACCATCGCATCGTACATTATAGGCTCCACAACACTGCAAGCTTTGAATGCCACTCTTTTTAACCAGGAGCAAGTACTTAACACCTTGAAACGCAAACTTATCAAAGTTGCAGCCTTATAGGAAAAATTCCATGATAGGTACTAGAATTCACAAACTTTTCAAAAGATTTTATGGACCTTACAATATTGTGAAAGTTGTGGGAGAAGTTGTTTTTCAACTTAACTTTCTCCCAATACAAGTAAAATACACCCTATCTTTCATGCTTCACAATTGAAGCCTTGCTTGGACCCTACAACTTAGAGTTCCACTGCCCCAATCAACGTAGTGAATAATCAGTCTTTGACTATGCTAGATTGGAAGCAAGTTGATAATGACGATCTCTAGCTACTCGTCTAATATGAAAACTTATTCTCTAAAAATGCAACATGAGAGTTGTTTTCTGACATCAAAATTCCTTATCCCCACTTCCACCTTGAGGACAAGGTATATTTTGAAGGGGAATGAGATGTCATTGACAATAGTGATGGACTTGAAAGTGAAGAGGAGGAAATACTCATATCTTAAAAAGAACAAAAATGAATATTGTGAGGCCAAAATACCTAGAAGATTATGTCCGCCCTAAAAAGAGATATTAATCATTTAGTTTTAGAATATGTACCTTATCGAGTCCGTTAGCAATATATAGAATTGGTTAAGAAATACACGTGTCATGTGATGATTTTATAAGTGGTATTAGAATGATATGTAGGATATTACTACATGTTCAATGATAAAAAACGCATGCGCTTTAATACTTGACACATCTCCCATGTGATGATTTTATAAGTGGTATTAGAATCATATGTAGGATATTACTACATGTTCAATGATAAAAAACGCATGCGCTTTAATACTTGACCCATCTCTAGGTAAACAATTTCTAATTGTGTATATAACAAAAATTAGTAAGAAATATGAAAAATATTATTGAGTAACAAACATCTCCAAAATATTAGTTAACCATTTTTTTTTAAATGAAGAAAATAGGAAGAGGAGGATTATGTAAGTAGCTAAACAAAAGAATTTGATTGGTTTATATCACTTTGACTCATCCCGACTATTTTTGTAAAGCTTTTCAGTAGTCATCACTGTCCAATGTCCGTCTAAGAACACCTCAATTTCAAAATGCGGAGCATCTTTCTCCTTTTCCTCATTTCAGGTACATCTTCTTCTCCACCTTCCCTTTCCCTTTCACAGTTTCATTTCCGTTAATGTTTTCGTTTTTTCAGGCGTCTTCAGGTATTCATCGGCCGAACAAGGGTTTTGCTCTGCACCTTCTACACTTAGCACGGAATCAAAATCTAAGCCTCTTTATTCGAAAATTTACGAATCCATTCTATCTCCTCTCGACCTTCAAAGTAAGTACAGCATGTTTGTTTCGCAGATTGCATTTTTCATATTTTGGTAACGGTTTTGTTTGTCAGATTTGCCTGGGTTTACACGCAGTGTTTATAAGAGAGATCATGCTTTGATATCACCAGAAAGTCATGTTTATGGCCCTTTGCCTGACTGGTACTCTTAAATTTCATCAGCTGTTTTGGTTAAGATATGATATTTAATCCCCCTCCCCTGCGTAGTAACTTTATTGTCTTTCACAGGATCGATACATTGGGGGCATATGTAATTTCACCTGAAATGGGCTCACACTTTGTAATGTACATAGCAAAATTGAAAGGTTTGATCATTAGTTGCCATTATATTCTCCAAGCACACCTTCATACTTTTCCTTAACTCGCCTGTGTTGGCATTTCATATGAGACTTTAATGTTTTAATGTACTGTGCAATTTAAAGTTTGTCGTTGCAACTGCTTTGGCTGGTATGCTTCTGGTTTGTGCTTTGTCATTTTGCAGAAAATTCAAGATCAGGACTACCTTTGCATGATGTAGAGAGGTTGCGAATCTTTTCATTTTCTGAATTCTACTGCGCTCTCAATTCCATTTCCATGTTGCTCTAAAACATTTGACATTGTTTCTAGCTCACTCATGTTTGATATATTTATAAGATTGTTATGTGTAGATTCATCTTTGTGCTCCATGGTGCTGTCACAGTCACCAGTGCTCATGGTGTGAGCCATGTACTAAAGGTGAGAAGTTTATGATTCTTATGCAAATGAAGTTTTTCTGTCGGATACAATTTTTGAGTTCCATAATAATTATTTTTGTTGATTTTTTACTACCTTTAGTGATTTGACTACTCTCCTTACTATATAATATACAAGTCTTCTCTCTACATATCCAAATCACATAAGCCAAGTTTCCGCCACCATTTCTACGTTATGTGCCACCCCCAACTATCTCGAATGTTGCCATTTCTAATTCTGTCTTGTATAGCCTTACTACACATCCAACACAATATCCTTATTTCCGCTACGCTTATTTATTCTTGTGTTGATTCTTTACTGTCCAACACTTCTTCCCATACAACAGTGCCGGTCTTACTGTTGTATGTTATAATTTTTTCTTCAGCTTGAGTGGTATTTTTCTATCCCATAAAACATTTGAAGCCCTTCTCTATTTCAACCACCCCACTTGAATTCAATGGTTTACACCTCCTACTTTTCTGTTGTTTTGTACAATGGATCCAAAATATTTATACCGCGTAACTTGTGGCATGACATGATTTCCAACTTTCACCTCCAAACTAAAAATACTCTGGCTTTTCCTTAAATTTCATTCCCTATACTTTGTCTTGCTTCCGCTCTGACATAAGTTATGTACTTCTATGGCTTGTATTCAAGTCTCCAACCCCCATTAAATTTCCCACTACTATTGTTTATGCACTTGTGTTTGTGGAAGAAGTGTCATATTAATTAATTAGTTTGAGGGAAAATGCATAACGTACTGTTATTATTATTTCTGATTATTTGCCCGATGTTAATGCATTTAGCGTAGTGGAAAAATATGTCCGTGGTATGATAATTGTGGTTGCCTCATATTTTTTTCCCCTCTCACCACTAGCCTGTTATATCATACCTTGAAAAACTGAATGGTTCTCAAGACTAAAAGAATTTTGGATGCCATGTTTTTGATTCCAGGTGGATTCATATGCTTATTTTCCTCCTAATTTTGAACATTCAATTGAATCCGACACTCCTGCTATTATTGTGGTATTTGAACGGAGGTTTGTATTTTGTGGCTCCACTCTTTTACGATTTATAATTGAATGTATCATCATCCCCATGACCTGGTCGTTCATCACAATGAGAAATCATGTAAATAATAATATTGAAAGATTGGTGAACGGTGAACCCTTTTCACATTTGAAGATTCTTAGTAGTCATTCTCACACACAATATAAGTTTGTACAGTTTTCAAGGATTGGATATTTTTTTTCCATTCATTCAAATTTCCAGCAGTCACATGAGTAATCTAAATATCCTGTCAGGTATGCTCAGCTGGCAAATCATGTCCCAGAGCCACTAGTTAATTCGACGGATAAGCAGCCACTTCTTGAAACTCCTGGGGAGGTATGTTGTTCTGATATACTGGCAGGCATTTTGCTTTATTTTTTATTTTTGTATAAGTTCAATCACTATATTTTTTCAATTTATAATGATAGTTTATTTAAAAGTGAATGCTACTGTTATAAGTGTTAATGTCATTGTCCCAAGCAGTTCTTACAGTCTTTGGCCTCAGGTCACTATCATTTGTTTGAGAGTCCATATTTCATTACACGGAACATGTAAATGTCTGGCTTTTCTGGGGGTATCTCACTGACGTACCCAAGGATTTAGGTTACTTCATCAAGTTAATTTGACAGTCCATGTTTAATAATTGATACAAGTCACTGAATGATAGGCCGTAGGTCACTTGTGATACATTAGAATTCCTCATATTTGATGCACACACTCAATAATCAAGTCCATGTTTTGTTTAAGTCTCTCACTCTCCCTCTGTTGTTGGTAAGCTAGATTGCAAATTTTATGCATGTGCAAACTTTACACAGTTTTAATTCCTTTCTGTATGCATTATCAGGTTTTTGAACTGCGAAAGCTACTTCCATCATCTTTGGCATATGACTTCAATATACATGTAAGCCTAAATCTCTCATGCAGTCAAAGTCCAAACTTTATCAAAGTATTATCATAGCTTTGGTCAGTCGTAGCTAAATTTAACTATTGCACCCATTTCTGCAGATAATGGATTTTCAGCCTGGAGAATTTCTTAATGTTAAGGTAATCATATACCTGTCCGCACAACATTTAGTTTGTTAAAATTGTAAGTTTAAAGGCATTTTATAAATTTATAAATTGTGGCTTTTGCAGGAGGTCCATTATAACCAACATGGATTGCTGCTATTGGAAGGCGAAGGCATTTATCGTTTGGGTGATAGTTGGTAAGAGTTATAGACCTCACTTGTCAAAAATATTGGCTTAGGCCTTGCAGGGAATGAAAAATAATGACATTCTTTGCTTCCAATAAACATTACATCTACATTGAAAGAGAAATTTTTATGTGAACAGGTACCCAGTTCAGGCGGGTGATGTTATTTGGATGGCACCATTCGTCCCACAATGGTTAGCTACATAAAACTACACCGTTCACTCCTCCATTCTCCTTTAATCCGAGCATACTAGCACATGCTTCACTATACAACATTACATGTTACTTCCATATCATCTTGCAACATATGAACTAATACATGTGTGCTGTCTACAGGTATGCTGCACTGGGAAAAACTCCAACACGATATCTTCTGTACAAAGACGTAAACAGAAGCCCGTTATAGTTGTGATTTTGATTGGCATTAGATAAATGACACAGATGATATTATTATTAGAAATATTAATTTATTATATTATTTATGTTGGTAACTGATTTGTTTGAGTTTGTCCTAGTCTTTAGGGATATTTGATTGAGTAATTAGTGGGTGCTGAATTTTAGGAATATATTGTTAGTGGCTTACAGCCTTATTAAGCAGTTTATAATTCTTGTTATGTTAACGCATCAATAAAATAAAACAGCAGTTTTTCGGTGCCTCTGCACTCTAAGTTAACAGTGGTATCTAGAGCTGGTTCATTTAGAAGAAAAAAAATCTGAGTGAAACACAGTGAGATTTGAGCGAAAACATCATCGATGGCATCTTCCAATGAGAATTTTGTGCAGGCTGCAATTCCTCGTTTTGATGGTCATTACGACCATTGGAGCATGTTAATGGAGAATTTCTTGAGATCCAAAGAATATTGGCAAGTCGTTGACTCCGGATTTACAGAGCCTGTGAAGGGAGCAGTTCAAACAGATGCGCAGAAGGCAGAATTTGAGGCACTGAAACTCAAGGATCTTAAAGCCAAGAACTACTTGTTTCAGGCCATAGATCGAGCAACTTTGGAGACGATTCTCAGCAAAGAAACCTCCAAACAGATTTGGGACTCAATGAAGAAGAAATTTCAAGGGAACGCTAGGGCAAGACGAGTGCAGCTTCAAGCCCTACGGAGTGAATTTGAGACTTTACGCATGAAGTCGGATGAGTCTGTCACAGATTTCTTTGGAAGAACGATGATCATCGCCAACAAAATGAGAATTCATGGAGACAAGATGGATGATGTGACCATTATTGAGAAGATTCTTAGATCAATGACAACTAAGTTCAATTTTGTTGTTTGCTCCATTGAAGAATCCAAAGATATTGATTCACTCACGATTGATGAATTGCAAAGTTCCTTGTTGGTTCATGAGAATAAAATCAGCAAACAAGACAAAGAGGAGCAAGCACTTAAAGCCTCGACTTATTCAAATACCTCTAATTTTAGAGGAGGCCGAGACAGGGGCAGGGGCAGAGGAAGAGGTCGAGGCGGTTACGGTAGAGGCGATAATGGTCGTAGCAGCAACCATAGCAACAATCCCGCCAACCACCAGAATTTAGACAACTCAGGAAGAGGAAGAGGTCGAATGGGCTATCGTGGAGGTAATCATTCAAACAATTTTCGCCCAAAATCTAATGTTGAGTGCTATCGCTGTCATAAATATGGTCATTATCAGAATGAATGTAGAACTTACTTGAATTGCCAAAATGGAGAAAGGACCAACTTTGCAGAAAGAGAAGAAGAGGAATCTCTCTTGATGGTGTGCAATGTAACCGAGGAAACTCCAGATAATCTGTGGTATTTGGATACGGGCTGCAGCAATCACATGTGCGGTGATAAGACAATATTTTCAGATTTGGATGAGTCTTTTCTGAGTACCGTCAAATTCGGCGACAACTCCAAAATTAATGTTGCTGGAAGGGGCAATATTATTTTCAAGGCCAAGGGAAATAAAAGTCACAAGATCTCCGATGTCTTCTTTGTCCCAGAATTGAAGACCAACTTGATTAGTCTAGGACAACTTCAAGAAAAGGGGTACGAGATTCTGATCAAGAATGGTGTTTGTCGGGTTCAAGACGAAAAATTAGGGTTGATTGCTCAAGTTAAAATGACAGATAATCGGTTGTTTCCGTTAAATCTGCATAGATCCACCGGTTCTTGTTTCTCAGCAAAGATTCAAGACTCAACATGGTTATGGCATTTTCGCTATGGTCATCTCAATTTTGGAGGATTGAAAACACTGCAGCAGAAAAATATGGTGACAGGTCTTCCGGAAATCGCACCTCCAACTCAGATTTGTGAAGATTGTGCTGTCAGCAAGCAGCATCGAGACTCTTTTCCATCTGGAAAATCCATCAGAGCCAAGAAAGTGCTAGAGGTGGTTCATTCGGACATTTGTGGCCCTCTAAATCCAATCTCGAATGGAGGTAAACGGTACTTCATTACTTTCATTGACGATTACAGTAGGAAGATATGGGTGTATTTTTTGAAAGAAAAATCTGAAGCATTTGATGTTTTCAAGACATTTAAAGTGTCTGTTGAAAAGGAAAGTGGATGTGTGATTACGGTTCTGCGAACAGATCGTGGTGGAGAGTATACGTCGCATGAATTCGCAAAGTTTTGCGAGAATCATGGAATTCAAAGGCAGCTTACAGCAGCATATTCACCTCAGCAAAATGGTGTTTGTGAGCGGAAAAATCGCACTATTATGAACATGGTTCGAAGTTTGCTAAATAGAAGTGGAATCTCTAAAACTTTTTGGCCCGAAGCAGTGAATTGGAGCGTCCACATTTTGAATAGAAGTCCGACCTTTTCTGTTCAAAACATGACTCCTGAGGAGGCATGGAGTGGAAACAAACCAGCTGTCAATCACCTCAGAATTTTTGGGTGTGTTGCCTACGCTCATGTCCCGGATCAAAGAAGAACAAAACTTGAAGACAAGGGGGTGAAGTGTATTTTTCTTGGTATTAGTAATCAGTCAAAAGCATATAAGCTTTATAATCCTAACACCAAGAAGATTATAATTAGCCGTGATGTGATATTTGATGAACAAAATATTTGGGCAGCGAATAAGAGTGTTGTTGTGCATCAAGAGAAACTGGTGGATTTTGATGAAATTGAAGATGAGCAGGCTGAAACTTCAAGTGTGCAGCACCGGTCCACACAACAGCAGCCCGCAGAAACAGCAGCTGATAATTCTGTGCAGACTCTTGGCTCACCAGCAACATCAACTTCAGAACCTCGTCCTCGGTGTGATAAAAGAAGTCGCTCACCAACAGCATCAACTTCAGAACCTCGTCCTCGGCGTGATAAAAGAAGACCTGGTTGGATGATTGATTATGAGGTGACTGGAGTAAATCAATCAGAATGTCAACTAACACACTTTGCATTTCTTACGGATTGTGATCCCATGGTTTTTGAAGAAGCTATTAAGGAACCAAAGTGGAAAAAAGCAATGGATGAAGAAATTGCTTCTATTGAGAAGAACAACACTTGGGAGTTGGTTGATCTTCCACAAAGGCAAAAGACAATTGGTGTGAAATGGGTGTATAAGACAAAATTCAAGGAAGATGGAGAAGTTGACAAGTACAAGGCACGACTTGTCGCTAAAGGTTACAAGCAAGAGTTTGGGGTGGACTATACTGAAGTATTTGCTCCAGTTGCAAGACATGATACAATTAGAATGGTGGTTGCTGTAGCTGCACAAAATTCATGGCCCATCTTCCAATTGGATGTAAAATCAGCATTTTTACATGGTGATTTGAAGGAGCAGGTGTTCATTGATCAACCTCCTGGATACATGAAGTTTGGATGTGAGCACAAAGTCTACAGACTAAATAAGGCTTTGTATGGATTAAAACAAGCACCACGCGCTTGGTACAGTAGAATTGAAGCTTACTTCCTGAAGGAAGGGTTTGAGAAATGTCCTTTTGAACACACACTTTTTGTGAAAAGTGGGGAAGGAAGAAAATTGTTGATCGTGTGCTTGTATGTGGATGATTTGATATATACAGGGAACGATTTCAGCATGTTTGAAAGGTTCAAGAAATCTATGATGTTGGAATTTGATATGTCTGATTTAGGGAAGATGCATTATTTTCTCGGCATAGAAATAGTGCAATCAAAAGCTGGCATTTTTATCTCACAAAAGAAGTATGTGCAAGAGATTCTGAACAGATTTCAGATGTCAAATTGCAATTGTGCTGCTACACCTACTGAAGTAGGCTTGAAACTTGTTCGAAATTCGGATGAAAAGAAGGTTGACAGCCAACTTTACAAGCAAATCGTGGGGAGTCTGATGTATTTAACAGGAACGAGGCCTGATATCATGCATGCTGTAAGTTTGATCAGCAGGTATATGGAAAATCCTAAGGAGAGTCATCTCTTGGCTGCAAAGAGAATTCTCAGGTACTTGCGAGGTACTACTAGTTTTGGAATTTTCTACAAGAAGGGAGAAAATTCGGATCTGATTGGCTATACAGATAGTGATTATGCTGGAGATATTGATGATAGAAAGAGTACTTCTGGCTATGTCTTTATGCTGGGTTCTGGAGCCATCTCATGGTCATCAAAGAAACAAGAGATAGTCACCCTATCAACTACCGAAGCAGAATATGTTGCTGCAACAGCATGTGCTTGTCAAGCAATTTGGCTTAGGAGGATACTTGAAGGGCTGAATTTTGTGCAGGAAAGGGAAGTTAATGCTACTGCAATTTATTGCGACAACAGTTCAGCTATCAAACTGTCCAATAATCCTGTTTTACATGGAAGAAGCAAACACATAGACGTGAAATTTCATTTTATCCGGAATCTCACAAAGGATGGAGTGATTGAACTTCACTACTGCAGAAGTGAAGACCAAATTGCCGATATAATGACCAAGCCATTGAAGCTGGCTGCATTTCAGAAGCTCAGAGCATTGTTGGGAGTGTGTGATAAACTGAATGTTTGAAAACTTTCAGTTTAAGGGAGAATATTAGAAATATTAATTTATTATATTATTTATGTTGGTAACTGATTTGTTTGAGTTTGTCCTAGTCTTTAGGGATATTTGATTGAGTAATTAGTGGGTGCTGAATTTTAGGAATATATTGTTAGTGGCTTACAGCCTTATTAAGCAGTTTATAATTCTTGTTATGTTAACGCATCAATAAAATAAAACAGCAGTTTTTCGGTGCCTCTGCACTCTAAGTTAACAATTATAGCCACCACCTTATTTAAAATTTGAATAAAAGAAAGCTTGTTATGTTACTGTATATATTTATTAGCTCTCATGTTGTTAGGTCGTAGCATGTTAACTCTAATGCACTGGATGTGATTGTATGCTTAATGTTTTAGTATTTGTAACTTCAATTTCATTTGTGTTGAACAAGCTCTTCTAAATCAACTTTAGGGCTGAACCTTTGATTTTCAACACCAAGTTGAG